GTAGAGCGCTCGCTCCGTGATCGGGAGGTCGTGAGTTCGAATCTCGGCCGCGACAGACCTAAGTCGATAAAAAATAGGTAGCAACTGTTCCTTCGCCATGCGCTCGGCACTTTGGAGTGAAAGTTGCGGGTCTTTCGGATGAGACCTTAAAAACCGAGGCCCCGTGTCACGGCAGGCGTTGGCACGAAAAAGATCCCTCACTGCTCAATGGCCCTAAGTGCCGAGTAAAGGTCAAAATTTGAAGCCCTTCACCGGTATATGGTGACGTCTCTATATGAGTGAAAAATTCTCGAATGGGACGTAAAACAATATACAATCAATCAATCATTTAAACAGGCATTATATACTTGTATTCAATGAAACAGTATTTTATCAGTCTATCGTGGATTTTAAAGTTTTCATTAAAGAATTGAACTGTAAATTCTGGAGGTCAATCATGTCATAACTGGACAGTTATGCAGGCAAATTGTCATAACAGGCTGACATATACGTTTGCACAGGCGCATGCCCTCAATTGTTATGACAAATTGAATGTCCAAATTTTACAATTCAATGCTTATATGTATTTTATGAAACGTTTATATGATTGTATACAATGGGAAAAGTCCAATGCTTATTTGAACTTCAAAGGGATATACACGTCTGCACATGTAACCCCAGTGGATATACACGCATTTATTACTTAATGTACTCACTTTTAAAAGTGACCATAAGTCTGGATTTCTTTGGTGTGGTTGAAATGGAGAGGCAAGCTACACTTCCCACAGGCACTCAGTCCCTTGGCGAGCACATCTTATTCGACAATTTGCCGCCCTTGTCTCCAGTCTTCGCATGTCTTAGAATGATCATTATACTCTTGATAAATAATTTCTTCCTCGTTTTCTACATTTGATAAATCTGGACCTGTATGAGTTAAAATTTGTATTAATTATACTGTTTAACCCTTGTGTGTCTGTCTGTCTGTCAGTAACAAATTTTGGTCGCAGTTTTCTCAGCAACTACTCATTGCAGATGCTTGAAATTTTAGCACACTCTTTGTTTTGGCACGCCATATGGTGGGATTTTTTTTTAAACAATTCCGATGTCGACTTACTGTTTATCCGTGCGTCTGTCCGTCCCATACATAACAAATTTTGGTCGCAGTTTTCTCAGCAACTACTCATCGCAGATGCTTGAAATTTTTGCACACCCTTTGTTTAGGCATGCCATATGGTGGGATTCATTTTGGTACGAATCCGATGTCAACTTTCTGTTTATCCGTGCATCTGTCCATAGCATACATAACAAATTTTGGTCGCAGTTTTTTCAGCAACTACTCACCGCAGATGCTTGAAATTTAAGCACACCCTTTGTTTAGGTATGCCATATGGTGGGATTCATTTTTGTACGAATCTGATGTCAACTTTCTGTTTATCCGTGCATCTGTCCGTAGCATAAATAACATTTTGGTCGTAGTTTTCTCAGCAACTACTCATCGCAGATGCTCCAAATTTTAGTACACCCTTTGTTTAGGCATGCCATATGGTGGGAATCATTTTTATATGAATCCGATTCAACTTCACAATTATCTTCAAAATATGAATCAAATTAAATCATAATTTCCTTCCTGACATTTCAACAGTGTCAGCCAAGGGCTGTCAATTTCTATTTTTATTTATTTAATGTCATCTATTTAATTTTTTTTTTTTCATATTAGCTCACCTGAGCTGAAAGCTCAAGTGAGCTTTTCTGATCACATTTTGTCTGGCGTCAGTCTGTCTGTCTGTCCGCCAGTAAACTTTTCACATTTTCTTCTCAAGAACCACTGGGCAAATTTTGACCAAACTTGCCACAAAGCATCCTTGGGTGAAGGGAATTAAAGTTTGTTCAAATAAAGGTTCAGCCCCATTTCAAGGGGAGATAATTAAGAATTAGTGAAAATTTGGTGCCATCTTTCAAAACTCTTCTCAAGAACCATTAAGCTAGAAAAGTTGAAACTTATGTGAAACCTTCATGACATAGTGTAGATTCAATTTTCTTCAAATCATGACCCCCGGGGTAGGGTGGGGTCACAATAGGGGATCAAAATTTTACATAGGAATACATAGGGATTTTTTTTTTTTAAATCTTCTCAAGAAAAACAAAGCTGTGATCAGTCATATTGGTGTGGAAGCATCATCAGGTAGTGTAGATTCAAAATTGCTCAAATCGTGACCCCTGAGGATAGGGTGGGGCCACAGTTATATTAATGACATCAAAACAAGATAAAGTAAGAATTTTCACCTTAACCACCTACATTTTAATAACAACATAGATCAAATTACGGCAGTTCGCGTTAGGCAGTTGACGTGTTTGTTAGGTACGAAACAGCATTCAAAAAATTCTACACAAGAGGAAGAAAAACACTTGCTGTGGCCTTCAACTCGACACTCACGTATATGTTCGGCGTTTTATCAATTAACAATTATTATAATTACCTCCATTCATTTGTCGACTTGAGCCCACAGAGTCTGTCACACCTGTTTCATTTTTGGATGTTTTATTGTCTTTAGACGATGAGCCAACTATTAATTAAACTGTATGATAAACGGGATGAGTTCAGCTTTTCAATCGTCAACTTTTCTTATTTATGTGGTAATATTCCAAAATCGCCGCATATGGTGTTTATGTCTTCCAACTGATTCGATCCGCAAGAGCATGGTCTGAGTATAATCAATATTAAACCGTGGAAAGCTACTGACAAATAAGTTGATGTTACAAGGATTTCAACAACACTGTTTAAAGTCAGTTTTTCGCAAATTCTGCGGTCGTTAAAAAGACATTGTTCTTTTAAAATACAACATATAGCTGGGTGGTATTTTGTCCGACAGGTTTAATACCATTTGTTAGGTCGTTCCTTTTCAAATAAATTTGATTACGGCATATTCCTTATACCTGATTAATGCATAGGACTCACGGCAGGTGACAACAGGAGATGCTTACTTCTCATAGGCACCTGATCCTATCTCTGATCGATATTTCCAGAGGTGTATGTTTTTACTATGTTCACGATTCATTTTGTTTACTGGATTTTGGTAATTTAATGGCTGTTTATTATCTTTACATTATACATAACCACCTTAGCTCCACCTAGCAGCGGAACCATCAACCAGAGGCACAGGTACTTGTTTCTATCATAATTTTTACCAATAAAAATAATAAAACAATGTATTTAACTCCGAATTACACTACTCTACTACCCAGAATCGCAGTCGATTTAGACTGTCAGAGAAAATGTATTGGCGAACTGTTTATGTGCCTGTATGATTTGGGGAACTTAGAATATAACAATCTGAAATCCATAGTAAAAATACTTTGATTTACTATAGTAAAAACTGTTGTACCATGGGAAACTATAGTTAACTACAGTAAACGATATTTAACTGTAATACTTTTTTGTTAGGGACATGTCCATGAATAAGGAAGATTTTCAGAGGTGTCATTTATTTCCAGTACGTAAATATATATATCTATCAACTAAGCCCCGCCATGAGGCCAAACCCATTTGTCCATACATTCGAATGCTTTGAAATTTTATTATATTTATGCCCCCCCCCCCCTCGAAGAAGGGAGGGCATATTGCTTTGCTGCTGTCTGTCGGTCCACCACCAGATTCCGTTCATTTTCCTCGCAGAGATTGCACTTACTGAAATGAAATTTGCTATACAGATTTATCATAAGAATATCTTGGTCAATTTTGGATATGATCGAGCAATTTTTGACAGAGTTATATGCCACTTGGACTTAAAAAAAATTCCAATTATTTGCAGTTTCCGTTCATTTTCTTCGCAGAGGTTGCTCATACTGAAATGAAATTTGGTATACAGATTCATCATAAAAATATTTAGGTCAAGTGTTGTTTTGGGTACGATCGAGCAATTTTTGACAGTGTTATGCCCCTTGGAATTTGAAAAATTCCATTTATTTGCAGTTTCCGTTTTTCTTCGCAGAGATTGCAAATACTGAAATGAAGTTTGGTATACAAATTTATCATAAAAACATCTAGGTCAAGTTCTGCTTTGGGTACGATCGAGTAATTTCTGACAATTATTGGGGGGGGGGGGGTATAAGTGTTTCACAAACATCTCTTGTTTGTTTTATTTCTCTGTTCCAGAAAATGTGTCGATCGATAACGACACGAATGCCCCCGCAAGCAGCCAAAATTTCAAATGCAATATTTAGTTTAAAATTTGTATTCGAACTTGAACCATCTTCTATGGTAAAATACCTGCATATACAGTTTCAACCTAATACATACATCCCTACAAAAGTTAGAGAGTGGAAACTGAAAATTTCTTATTTTTTTTCTAAGTCCAAGAGGGATAACTCTGTCATCAAATATCATTGGACCATAACCAAATTCAAACTTGACCTGCATTTTCTGGTAAAATACTGCATATGCAATTTCAACTTTATACCAGTACATACTTCCCTGGAAAAGTTAGAGAGCGAAAACTGAAACTTTCTTATTTTTTCTAAGTTCAAAAGAAATACCTCTGTCAAAAATCATCGGACCATGACCAAATTTGAACTTGACCTGTGTTTTCTGGTAAAATACCTGCATATGCAATTTCAACCTTCTACATACATCCCTTCATAAGTTAGAGAGGGGAAACTGAAAGTTTATTTTTTCTTAAGTTCAAGAGGGATAACTCTGTCAAAAATCATTGGACCATGACCGAATTCGAATTTGACCTGCATATTCCTAAAACGTATCCATATGTCGAATTTGAATTTGAGTTGAATGTGTGCAACCGTTGCAGAGATAATTAACGGAAAGTGAATGATGACGGAACGGGGCAACACTATATGCCCCGGCATAAAAATGTTCAAATGTCACGATGGGCGAAAACAAAGATAATTGATATTAGGTCGAATGAGTCATTCAGGTGTTCTAAAAATGTACTACATTCAATAGTTAAAAATAAAAACATAAGAATATCATTACTTTCACAATTATATGAATATTTTATTAACCATATCAACGACGACATAAAACAACACTAAAATTTTAAAAAGTTTGTAGGATAAAGTTACAGCAATGCAATTTGTGCACTTTTCAACAAATTTAAACTTCTCTAAACATAATTACGTATACATAAAAGTACACGCTGTTTCATATAGTGCTTACATATAAATTAAACTATTTGTTTGCAACTAAAATTAAATTGGTAACAAAATCAAATCAAAATCACATAGCACTTGATTATTGTCCATTAAAAAGGTATAAATTCAAGTGCTGTAACAACCTTAAGTCATTTCTCAAGGAGCATGAAATACAATGTACAGTTTTTGCAATATCCCAATCTCTTGGTCATTATAAATCGATCAAATTTAGTAATGTGAATTTTTTTTGATACTTTGTCTTTGCACAGCGTACATGTATATGTATCTATGAAATAATTTTATAACAAAAAAATGGGAAATTCAGCCTTAGCCATCCTTTCCGTTGGCCTGATCTAGTCCTTGTGCAAAACTGTAACTCAATACTGCAAAAAACGTTCTCCAGGCACGATGAACGTCCTGAGTAAAGTCGTCTTCTAATTGTTTTTCAATTGCACATAGCAACGCATTTCCCACGGGCTGAAAGGAAAAGAATATTTTCATTAATTGGATACTCCAAAAAAAATCTGACCATTTCAAGTGTAATAAATGTACCATTTAAATAAAAAGAAATTGCTATATGGCATATATATTATACAGTGAAATTCTTGATAGTGTCCATAGCAGAAACATTTGTAATTTGAACAAGATGAGTGTATTTGAAACAAATGCCCTGAGAGTGTCAATTTCTTATGATAAACTGACTCATATTATACTTCTAACAGTAACCTTCAACCTCTGATATTAATCTTGGGGTCAAGGTCTTCATTAGGGATGTGTATTAATTAAGCAAAAAATTTCGATACGATACAATACATTTCATAATGCGATATATTGGATTCTTTAAACAAGTCTATCAAAAAAGGCTTATAAACCATTTAAATCATGAATTTTATAAAATCTAATTGATTAACAACTCATTCCAGAGTTCTTGTCTCAGTGTCATTACATAATACACTTGAAATTCAAACTTTTAACGACTGTAAAATCAACATATTAAATAAAGTTGTGATTTTATCAGCCATAATCAGGATCGACGTATTTATTAATATATATGCGCCCCTGATTTTCCTAAAGGCTATATGCCCGTAGTGCTATTTATCCAGGGTCTTTTTATTTTTACTTTTATATGTTTAACTGTTATAGACCATGTAGTGATATACTTAAAAAAGTTTGTGGGTAGAAAATAAGCTTGCCGAGAAAACCTTTATTTCATGTTTAACAAAACGAAAAAAGATTTTATAGATAATCTATACGCCCGTCGTGTTATTTATCAAATATCTTTTCATTTTACTTTATGTATTACTTTTATAGACCATGTGATGTTAAAAAAAATAAAAATGATTTTATAATTGTCTTTGTTGTATCTATTTTAAATTACTATTTTCATGGGCCCTATATAGAGAGCACGCCTGCCGTGAAAGTCAATAACGCCCCCACCTTTTTTTTTTTTAATTTGATTTACATATTTTACAACTATAACATTTGAACAGGAAAAGAAGATTTAAATTAAGGCGAAGGGTAAAATTAATATATAAAATATTTTCATTAACGTTAATGGTCATGAAATGAATGCACACATTTGAGATTAAGATTTTAAACTTTTAAAAGTGCTGCATGTGCATTAAGAGCATCAAGACGAGATCACCCGTGGGTATTCGACGATGTAAGAACATTGAGTAAAATATTTAAAATATATATATATATATATCATGCAGGAAAATGTTTAAGTAAATATACATGTAAAAGTCATTTAAAAACTTCTATCATGTTTCAGTTAAAATCCTGGGTATCTGTAAAGTAAGAAACAAAAAAAAATCAACAACAAGAGATATATGTTTATATATTCATTAGTTCTGAATTTATAATAATATCAATTTGAGAGATCATTTGATAGCACTTTATAAACATAATATCATAGGAGTCAAAGGCAAATTAGAAAAGTATACGTCGGGTGTGTGTGTGGGGGGGGGGGGAGGGGGGGGGGGTGACGGTACATATTGTCGTTTTGTACATATTGTCGACGGCGACAATATGTAACCTACCCTCACTGCACATATTATCGTCCATAGATACATATTGTCGCCGTCTGAAAAGTTACACATGTACATATTGTCGCTGGCGACATTATATACCTCACCCTCACTGTACATATTGTCGCCCCACAGATATTGTTGCTTAAAGATTTCTTTTGTTGTTTTTTGGTAGTTTTGTGAATATAATTCGTGTGTGAATCACACTGACGTGTCTCGTATGCTATTTGATGCGGCGTGATTGTGACGGTACATTTTGTCGTCCTGTTCATATTGTCGCCGGCGACATGACATGTGTACCTACCCTCACTGTGCATATTGTCGTCCATCAGAACATGTCGCAAGACAATGCACGGCAATGTTCCATATAAAAATGGCCAGAGAAACCATATATATATATATATATATATATATATATATATATATATATATATATAAGTTAAGCAAACAGAATTTACCAAAGAAAAAAAATAAAACTACCGGGGGGGGGGGGGGGCGGTGCTACATCTGTGTTTTTGTTTGTTTGTTGTTATAATGTTTATCTCGAGAATTTTTTATTCGTACGTAGACGTCACCACTTGCCGGTGGAGGACTGCAAACTTGGACCTATACTTGGCACTCAGGATCATTGAGGGATCCTTTTAGTGACAGCTAGCACATCAAAATTGAACGTACGCTATGTAATGAAGCTTTCAAATAAGTATCATCTCTTCTGACCCAGTAATTCTTGAAAAAAAAATTGAAAGAATCTAAAAATCTCAAGATGGGTCGGTAGGTAGGTAAATTATTATTTTTTTTCTGACAGCAGGTTTGGGAATACATTCTGAAAAATTGAATAATATCTTTATAAATAAGAAAGAACAAAAGAAACCAATTTTAAACCTAATATCAAACAAATGAAGCAACATGTATGGTAAATTAATTCACAAATATTATTTGAACTTGTAAAATATCTCAGGCCAGCGTAAATTTATTGAAATCGAATATTTACAAAAAAACACAAGATTCGCAAATACTGAACCATCGGACATTCGAGTACATTTTTCAAACCTACTATCATCTTCGAGTACTTACACAGACAAAATGTCAAGGGCCTTGTGTTTTGTTTTGGAGTCACGACGTAATTCGGAAGCTAATTCTAAGTCACAGGTCCCGACGTGGGACTTGCATACCGGTCAGTGGAATAAGACCATAAAAAACGTAGGTCCAGTGTCGGAGTATACATGTAGATGGCACGTGAAAGATCCCTTACTGATGCTTAATGATGAAAGGCCATAAGTGCCGAGTAAAAGTCTAAAATAGGAGCCTTCCACCGGCCCAACAAATTTTAAAGGTATTTTAAAGCAAAGAAACAACCTGTTTTCAAGGGCCTAACTAAAGCAAAATAACTGGCCGTCTCTTAAGCAAATTTTAAAGATTTCAACACTATTTGGAAATAGTGTACATGTACATGTATAAACAATATATAATTCAACCAAACCATATCTAAAATGATTAAAGTTTCATATATTTAATTTTATAGTCACGGAGTCAATACCCCATAAATAAAAGGAATAAAGAAACGACATCTGAATTATATTTATCAAATGAAATAATCATACAAAGACATATTTACAACTCTAATGGTCCTATGTAGTAAAAATAGGATCTTACATGAACTGTTTATTAGATCGAAACGAATCAAATGCAGTGAAATTTATTGATATGTATTCACAAGGAGCGCCCCTCATCTACTCATGAGCCAGGCTTTGCTGTGCGCATGCTTACTACGTACGTTAATTTTTTAAATACCATCTTAACACTCCTTAGTCATTACATGGTACATTAATTCACGAGATGTCTCAAGAGTGTAGGATTCTAATAAGTTAAAGATATAATAAGATTGATACGTCACCATTGTTTTATAACGAACTAACCCTCTGTGGCCACATGTTGTCGGCACCAAATGAGAGTAAAACAAAAGCCGCCGTTCTGATAAAAAAAAAAAACGGATTTTGAAATTGTATTTTATAAATTTGATAAACAATAAAAAAAATATTTAAATAATCTTATTAAAAAAAACTTTTCAGTCGGCACGATTTAAGTGGGTTGATCGCGTTAGGGGAAACAAAGGTATTTTTTATTTTGGCCTTGACTGTACATTTTGTCGTCCATTATGCAGGAGGAAAATAAGGCTCGTCTCGGTACATATTGTCGCCGGCGACTCGGTACATATTGTTGCCGGCGACAATATGTACCTATGGACGACATGTGCCGTGAGAGTAGGTACATATTGTCGCGGACGACAATGTGTACAAAACGACAATATGTACCGTCACAGGACCCGGGGGTTAAACTTCTTTGATCAGCCTCTATCAATTTGCTCTTGATATTGAAAGGCACATGGATGGAATTTACAAAAAAATCTATCTATTTAAAGTGACAGATATACATGTGGCGAGGAAGAGTGTTAAACGATATTTATAAATTTTGTTCAAGACTCAATGAATTTATAATACTGCAAACAAGTCGCACACACATCGGAAGCAAATTAGCTAATTAGAGGGGAGGCGTTAACTTCGTTAAATGTGAAAATATGGGGGAAGGGGTAAGTTTGTATCTTTCGCCAATGAAAGCCTCAACTCACCCCTCTTTAAAACATGCAAGTTGTTCGTTTGGCCATATTCCAGGAGGGCCCTTGATTGGTGATTAATTTAACGCGTACACTGCATGAACATGCAAAAAAAAAAAAAAAAAAAAAATCCATCGTAAAATTAAAATTAGAGCCTGCGTCTAAGTTCCGGTCTTGAAACTTAATTTTGTCTAGATCTGCTTCTATGTATAATGTTCGTTCTCCAAAACTACTTTACAAAACACGTGCTCATGTGTAATAATTACACATGATTGCAGATCCACGAAAAAAAAAACACATTCTCCCTCCCTCTTCTGTAAAAGATATACGCACTAATATCAGTTTTTACCTTTTAATCTATTGCTAAAATTTATTTCAAAGAACTGTCAGGCGTAATAGTTACCAAAAATATGCGTCAGGTCCAAAAATAAGTAACAAACCAAATAAATAAATTATTAAAACAAGAAGTGTGTGAGCCAATGCTCACTAGTAATACCCCCGCTTTGATGTGAATAACACTCTGATGTGAATGTACACAAGATCAGTTACGGACAGCTGTAGACACAGGGATAAACAGGAAGTTGACATCGGATTCAAACAAAAATAAATCCCACCACATGACATGCCTAAACAAATAGTGTGCTAAATTTCATACACCTGCAATGAGTAATTTTTTAGAAAAGTGCGACAAAAATTTGTAATGTATGGTACGGACAGACATAGTATAAACAGGAAGTTGACATCGGATTCGTATATAAATGAATCCAACAATATGGCATGCTTAAATAAAGAATGTGCTAAAATTTCAGGCCTCTGCAATGAGTAGTTGCTGAGAA